AAATTCTTCCCCAGCTGTTCACAGGGCTCACTCCCTTACTTCTTTCTGGTCCCTTGTCAATGTCACTTTTTTAGCGAGGTCTCCTCTGATTACCTTATCTAAGGTAGTCTCTGTCACTGTCCGTCATTTCCCCAGCTTTATTTTTTCTTCTTAGAACTTATTATTCGCTAACATTATATTTTACTTTTATTTGTCACTGCTCACTAAGACATACGTTTCGCACAAGCAGAAATATTGCATACCACCGGGTCCCCGGAAGCTAGAAGTTAGGAGACACGGGGGGCACTTGACAGATGAGGGGTAAATGAGGGACTCAGTCCCTGAGGCTTTTTCCCAGGTAGCTTTCCTCACCAGGAAGCCTCTCCTGTTGGGAACTTATGGGGGTGGTGAGGGCTGTCACTGGGGCTGTGTTCATCCCTCAGAGTCTCGGAGAAGGAAAGTGCGAATCACTCAGTGCTTTGGAATGGAACTTCCAAGTCCATTCAGAGGAGCCACCGTTTTCTGGGCAGGGTCCTTGTCCCTAGCGGGTCTGGAGAGAATATTAAGTACTGAGCTGGGAGGGGCACCCAGACGCTCGGAAAGGGTGATGTAACCCCAGGTAGCGTCCCTTGGAGAAGAGGCTCGAGCACCCCTCTGTGTGCCCCTCCAGACGGAGGAGAGCCCGCTGCCCAGGAGAGCAGGTTCAGAGGCCTTGGCCCTGGACGACTGGGGTGTAATGTTCAGACAGCTCCAGACATGTCTCCTGTTAGCTGCACCCTTCTCCAGACAGAGGGCTGAAGGAGTTCTGCTGTCTCTGTCTCTGAATCCTTCTTTCCTAACTCTTGTCTGGAAGGAAAGCAGTTGATCTCTACTCCCGTCTGCCCCAGACTGCCCAGACTCCCCAGCAGACAGCTCTGCTTCTGCTGCTGGGCCCCTAAGTGACCCCTGAGGAGGGTGATCCTGTCTCTCTAGGAATATACTCCGTCTCCTGCAGGGGAGCCTCTGGAGCAGAACGGGGACCAGGGGAGGGGTGATGTGAACCAGCCCTTCCTTCTTCCCTTCCATCCTCCTTTTGCTTCCCTCCATCTCTACTACTTCCCTCCCTCCCTCCCTTCTTTTCCTTCCTCTATCCATCTCCATCCCTCTTCTATCCTATTGTCCTTCCACCTTCCCCTACTCCCTCCATCCTTCCTTTCCCTCTTTACTTCCTTCCCTCCCTCCCACTCTCCCTTCCACCCCTCCACACAACATTTACTGAGCTCCAAGCCCTCTGCCAGAAGTTAGGGACTAGAAGGTGAATGGGACATAGCCCTTTCCCCATGTGCTGTGGGGTGACCCAGGGACTTCCCTCAGCTTGCTGCCTGGTGCCTGGTGCTTTGTACCAGGCCCTCAGCAAATGGTAACTCTTGTTGTCACTTGTATGACTTTCCAGTTGTCATGGTGTAGGGTGGGCGACAGGTGTGTAATGACCACGGGAAGGCAACATGTTTGCCTAGAGGAAGGATCTTTTGTGGTCAACTCGGGGCTCATTACAGAGGCACTGTTGATGGGGAGTGTGTGGCATCTTTGTTCATCTCCTGACTCGCCAACGGCCTCTTCCCTCAGCACCTTTGTGCCTGAGAATGGGAGGCTGGGCTCCTGGCATGCCAAGGTTTCCCTGGCTCTGCTCAGAGCTGCCTTGTCTCCCCTGGGAGAATTCATGAGGGAGGGGCATGCCTCGTCCCCTAGTGGGGGCCCAGCGGATTCACAGGGATGCCGCAGTGTGGGCCCACTGTGTGCCAGGACGGGCAAGAGCTGCCTGGACCACCTCCCACTTTTTTCTGTCTCTGCCCCCCATGTCTTCCTGTCCTCTCCACCCCACTCCAAAGTCCCTCTCTCAGAGCTTTCCATCCCCTCTCCTCCCGTCCCCTTCCTCAGAGGGGCCTTGGAAGTGCCTCAGGCTATAAGCAATCCCTCCTTCCCCAGACCCCCTCAGTGCTCCCTGCTTTCTCTCTCCTGCCTCTCCAAGTTGCAGCCACCCTGCACTCCTTGTTACAGCCCCATGTCAGGATATCTGAACCTTTGCCTTCCCCTTACCTCCAGCCCTGTCTCCCTCGAGGCCCTGCCTGCAACTGCTGAAGGGCTCAGCTCGCATGCCCTCCCTCCCTCCTTGGTGTCCCGCCGTTGGCCCCCTCTTGGCAGGCTCCCTGTCCTGCCAGACTCTTCACACAGTGCGCCATTTCTGGATCCCATGGCACATCTGCTTGCCTTTGGCCTACCCCAGGGCTTGGCACACAGAAGGTCTGAGCCACTGACGGAACAGGTCTCCTAAACTCATTCGCTCCCTGGGGCTGGTGGCTGAGAATGACTGCATGTGGGCCTTCCCTGCGTTTTAAAGGGGAGGCAGGGGTTATCAATGTAGTGGATGGGATTTCAGGCATTTTTTTTGGTGAGGTGGTTGCTACCCAAACCCCCTTGACTCATGCCATGCTTTTCGCTGCCTTTGTGATCTGCCCCCTCCCGCCCCTCCTCTGATCTGGTGGTACCTGCACCAAACTGGACTTCTGGGCAGTGTCTCCTGGGTGGCGCCCCTGCCCTGGCTCCTCACTGTGGGGTCCCTGTGGAAGGCAGGGATGAGGGGGGGCCTCAAGTCAGGGACCTTTTTCTGGTTATGTTACTGCATTATCTCTCAGTGCGAGTTACTTACTTGCACCAGAAGAGCTGTTACTGCGCTGCCATCTTCCTTCCTCCCCATCTGAATCAAGAACATCAGTGTCTGATGTGGTCACCTTTGCCCGACTTGCAGTGACTGTAATGACATCAGACACCAGGAGCCCCTCCTATTTAGACTGGCTCACAAAGGCACAAATGGCACTAACTAGATTTCCCTTCCTGACGTTCCCATTCCAGCAGGAAGCTTGTTAGGCAAAACTTCCCGGGCAGGTAGCCACCTTTGGGCAACCCCCTAAGCACTCGGGGGACCCCTTACAAGAGCACAGCTCCAACACAGCCTCAGGGCTGTGCTGGGGCCTCGACTGATTGAGGACCCCAGGCAGATTGCAGGAGCCGGAGGTCTGATCAGTGGTGTGAAGCCGGAGGACAAGCAGGGGTGGGACTTGCCCAGTGAAGTCTCCCCATGTTCTCCCTGTCACTGGAATTTACAAGGCTTCTAAGTGAACAGCCCCTGGAGAATAGTCCTCAAATTTTGCAAGCCATGAGCTTGGATATAAAATCTAAGTCTGTCCTCCACCTCCTGCTAAGCGTGAGGAGCTTTGTGAGCAAATTAAATCTTCGTAAAGCCGTCGGCTGCCGGACGCCTCTTCCTCTCAGCTCTGGTAGAACCTAGGAAAGCACAGCATTGAGTGCGTGTTTTACGTTGCCTAGATTTTCATGTTGAGTGACACAGAAAAACAAAATGCAGAAGATAATCTGATTGAGGAGAGAGAGAGACTTGTAATCTCTGTCCTCATTACAGATGGTTGAGGTGTAGACTTTTGCTTTCTGTCTCAAGATAGGCAGGTAGGGCTTCCCTGGTGGCGCAGTGGTTGAGAGTCCGCCTGCCGATGCAGGGGACACGGGTTCGTGCCCCGGTCCGGGAAGATCCCACATGCCGCGGAGCGGCTGGGCCCGTGAGCCATGGCCGCTGAGCCTGCGCATCCGGAGCCTGTGCTCTGCAGTGGGAGAGGCCACAGCAGTGAGAGGCCCGCGTACCGCAAAAAAAAAAAAAAAAAAAAAAAAGAAAAAAGATAGGCAGGTAGAAATTTGTTTACAAATAGCGGTGTCCCTGTTACACTTTGAGAAAACACTTCTAGCACACACTCAGCAAACACCTTTTTGGTTGCCAGAAGTCAATCTTGGAGTTGGATGGAGTGTTGAAATCAGTGGTTTGATGTTCAAATACCTTGGCCTGGGGCTGCCACCATGTGCTCTCCAAATGCATCTTCTGATGCATTTGCAGACACATCCTTAAATCTCGACCGGAATTCTGCTTCTACAATATCAGAATGTACAACTTATCAGGAGGGGGTGTTTGCTTGTCCTATCAAATCCTTTCTGTAACATGGTAAAACAAATTAGATTCTGCGCTGCACTGGCTCCGAGCTGGAGATCTCAGACTGAGGCTTGGCCTTGATCACCCCAACCGACACTCTACAACCACTGTGGTGGGCATCTCAGCTTTCCCTCTGGGCCCCTATGTCATCCTGCTGCTTTTCTGATCTTGGTTCAGAGAGAGGACTTTGATGACACACAACACTCCTGACCCCTGGGTCAGTTGCAGATTCCTGGTCTGGACCCATTGAAAGCTGCTCTGGCCACTGAACCAGGCATAGCCAATTGAAATTTGGGTGAAATTGTGTGTGGTCTACTGTAGGGGGCTCCTTAAATTAGGGAGCGAAAAAGAACCCCTGAGTACCTTCTCAGTTCCTCACTTTTAGAATTCCAGAGAGAAAGGGAGGGAAAGAGAGATAGAGAGAGAGGAGGGGGGCACTTATGTGCTCTTATTTCTTCTTCCATCCCACCTAGAGAAGAGATGGTTAGATGCCCCACCCCATTCTTTTTTTTTTGCAGGTGGCAATTTCCCATTAAAAGAAGCTGAGCAGCCGCATAGCACAGGGAGATCAGCTCGGTGCTTTGTGACCACCTAGAGGTGTGGGACAGGGAGGGTAGGAGGGAGACGCAAGAGGGAGGGGTTATGGGGTTATATGTATACATACAGCTGATTCACTTTGTTATACAGCAGAAACTAACACACCATTGTAAAGCAATTAGACTCCAATAAAGATGTTAAAAAAATAAAAGGTTGAATTAGACTATGTAAAAAAAAAAAAAAGAAGCTGAGCAAATTTGGTTTATTGCAGCAAAGGTCACATAGTTTCCAGTTTTAAAATTGCTCAATGAATTGGGGCAGTGGGGGCTATTAAATGTTTTTGACTCTCTCAACTAGCCCAGCAAATTGTTACCTTGGCTGAATGCTGTCTACCTGTCTTATTGGAGTCGGTGTGTCCGACACTGAGAATTTCTAACAGGTCTTATCTTTGCAGTTCCTGACCACCACGGCTTTAAGAATATCCACCAGCTACAAGGGAGCTCCGTTGCTTTCAGACTTGCCTGGTAAGGAACATTGTTTTGTAGTTTGTTGAAATGGTGTCTGCCTGTGTCTTGTCGGGGAGCCAGACTGCCCTCTTTGGGTTGTGGGTCCCTGTGCTGGGTAAGAGTTCTCCCAGCTACTCCCTTGCCTCTTTGGACAGAGGCTGGGCTTTGGAGAAGCTTCCAGATTCAGAGGTCTCTGGGATCCAGCATGGGCCCCAGGTCTTCTGGGTGTGATGACTATGTGATGTCAACATGTGCTCAGAGGTTCTCAGATTGGGGTCACAGATGGGGCAAAGCCCTGCAAGGTTGGCTTATCGCTGTCTTGTGTGACATCCTGGAGGGTCGCTGTCTGCTGGCTGGCAGTGGGAACGAGAGCTGGTGAGCTGGTGGGACGGCTGCCCAAAGCCAGGCGGCCCCTCCAAGCACTGCCCAGGGCCTGTCTCCCCACCACTCAGCATGTGGTTCTGCGGCTTGGCCCGGTCTTGGAGGAAACCTGTCTCCGAGTGGCTCCGTGCCTGTCACCTCAATCAGACTCAAGATCATGAACTCAGTCATGGAGTGTTTTCCCCACACTGAAGCTAAAAACTTAAAATAAGAAGGGGCAGCGCGCGTATTTGATGTCTGCAACCTCCTCCTCGGAGGCTGCCCCTGATATCTCTGTAAACTCACCCTCAGATCTAATTAGCCAAACCCACCATCTCCTGACCAAGGGCCTCAGAGGTCACTACATAAACCAGGGAAATTGATAGTGGAATTATGCACTTAGAAATTAATTTTGCCTTGTACTGAATATACATTTTTATTGTGACTTTATCTTGTTGAAAAAGTGCTTACTTCTGATTTTGTGGATATTACTGACCGTGGATTACTTTTATTTTGGTTTTTACACAACAGTTATGTTAGAAATTTGCTGTTTTATTCTTACCTTCTTAGTAAAAATCCTTTTATCACACAATGGGTAATTTATATCCATTACCAGGCCTTTCAATCCTTTTCAGTGGGGCTGTCAGCGCCGTTGGCACAGTAATGATTAATGTGATCTAATAATAGTGTGCCATTATATTACCTTAGTAAAACATGTACCAACATCCTATTCGGATCTACCAAATTCATAGCTTCCTATAATATTTTTGTTGAAAGACAGGATTACTATTTTTCAAAGCTGATTTTTTCCCCTTTAACATATTTAATGAAATTCACAATTCTTTGCCTTAGTAATCCGGGCATTTGATTGGGCTCGGTGGGTGAATTTGACAGCTGTAGGCGCTGTTGTGATTTGTCAGGGAGAGGCTGGACAGTCCCAGAGATCGGCCAGAGAGACTATTGTGTTTTTGTTGGGCCTGGGTTGTTTTGCCTTGAAGAAAAAAATGGCTGTATTTCCAGTCCCTTCTGACGTGTAATAAGGAAAGTGTGTTTTAGATCGAAAGGCAAAAGAGCAAGTAATTTGGCTCAAAGACTCCTCTCTTCCCTGCCCTGTTTTTTCCTCTCTTGTCACCTGCCTCGGTCTGCTGGTGAACAGGACGGGCCGCACAGCCAGTGGGAGCAGCTTCAGACCCCTTTCCCGGAAATGCTCCTTCTCGACCCATCCTTTTTTCTTGTAGCTTTGGCTCAGCTTCTCTGGAGCTGAGATGGGGTTTCTCAGCCGGGCACTGCTGACATTCTGGGCTGGGTAATTCTTTGCTGTGGGGCCACCCTGTGCAAGGTAGGATGTTTACAGCATCCCTGGCCTCTGCCCATTGGGTATCGGTTATGAATCCCTTTCCCCCGTTGTGACAACCAAAAATGTCTCCTGAAATTACCAAATGTCTCCTGGGAGGCACAGTTGTCCCTGCTTGAGAACCACTGGTCTAGTGTGATAGGAATATAAGCAGATTTTTTTGCAGTGTGGGGGAATTCCAGTTGGAGTTCCAGAGTTTCCCGGTGCTTCCTGGGACATCTTTGGCTGTGGGAGAAAAGATATGTGGATGATGGGCACACACTGCATCCTTTTCCTGGCTGAAATGCAGCCCGCTTACTTCTTTCTCCCCCCGACCCTGTCACAGAACCTGGCCCGAATGAGGGCCTGAATCTTAGCTTCTTCCACTTAAATCCCATAATAATCATGCTTGTGATTGATAACATTCCACCTTTTCAAAGATCTTTAAAATCTGTGTCAACCAAGGATGACATTATTGTAGTGCCGGTGAGATGTATTCAAACAATTACACACTCAGATCGAAGTGGGAAGGTTTGTCCTTCTATGCTCGTGCCTCTGTGATGTGGCTTTCACTAGCACCTCAGCCCCCATGGCCCCAGAAACCTTCAGCAGGAAAATGCACGGGAAGAAACGGGTTTTGCCCTCGTTACCACTCAGCTCTGAAAGCAGCTTGGATATTTGGGCTTCTTAAGGCTAGAAGCTGGGGGATGAAGGTGAGGTTGTCGAGCGCAGGGGAGAGAGAGAGAGGGAAAAAGAGAGAAAGAGAGGGTGAGGGAGGGAGAGAGAGAGATCCTCGTTTTTGATTCAGAACAAAAATTACTGCTGCAACATTGGCTCGAAATATGCAATCAACTGAAATCAGGAAAAGTATTTTGAAAATTTATATTGAAATACTTGAATCTAGATATGTGTGCACCCACATACATGTATATATTTAAATCAAGTATAGAGAAGACGAGAAATAAAGCTTTTGTCATAAAAATACTGCCTGTAGTATTTGCCCTCAAATGATCCTACCACATTGGAATACATTTTTGTACTGTTGGCATTTCCATAGAAGACACTTTTGTTTGTTTCTACAACTGATCCTTGATGATAACAACAAATGAGGAAATGGCTCTGATTTACCTTTGTGTTAGAGGATTTCAAATACATTGTGATGTTTGGTGCAGGAATCATTTTTGGTGACCCACTTCTTTACTGGTTTCTGGTCTGTCTCCCCTACTACAGTGTAAGCCTAGAAAGAGTAGGGACTTGCTGTATTTTGTTCAGTGTTATTTTCCTAATTCCTGGAATGGTGCTTGATACGCAGTAGGTTCTCAATAAAATTTTGGTGACTGGAAGGATGGATAGGTGGATACATGGATGGGTGGATGGATGTGCAGATGGGTGGATGGGTGCATGGGTAGATGGGTGGATGGATAGGTGGATGGGCAGATGGATGGGTGGACGAGTGGATGGGTAGATGGGTGGATGAGTAGATGGGTGGATGGATGGGTGGCTGAGTGGATGGGTGGATCACTGGATGGGTGGATGGATGGGACTCTATATCAAACCCTAACAGAATCTTAGAATGGTAGGCCCAGTGGTTCAAATGAAATCCCACTTTTTACCATCTCTTCATCCCTGGCCCGCCCAAACATTTTTTTTTACAACCAAATGGTCAGTTATAGAAAGTTATTCTTATTATCGCTTCTTTTCAATCAGGTTTTAAAAAAATGCCTAGGATTGTGCCAGGCTGTCTCTGTAAGTTGAAACCACATGGATGCCTTGCTATAAGAGTATCTTTAAAAATCCACCAGGGAATATACGCAAATGACTGGGATGGAAGTCATGGAGGCAGAGTAGGGGAAGGTGACCTCTTTCACAGTGAGACATGGACATGGAATTTATGAGGCTCAGAAGACTCTCTGTTCAGATGACTGGTTGTCTGTCTCCTGGGCAAAAACTCTGTAATTGACAGTGTATTTCATGTTCTTGTAGAGGCTGTTGTGTGTTCTCTCCAGCCCTGCTATCCTGGATCTCTTTGGGACTGGACGATGCTCAGCTACATGGGCTCAGCCATCTTGAGGAGATAGGCTGAGGCTCCTAAGTCCCAGCATGGTGGGTACCAGTCGATTGGAAAATGTATTCCCAGTGATAAGGATAAAAAGTTGCCCCACGCTTGACTTTAAAATTATTGCATAATGGACATCATAGAGGTACCAGTAAGAAAATAATAAAGAAGAGAGAGATAAATGACCTCTAAACCTGGCAAAGGTATGGACTCTGGAACCACATTTCCTGGATTGAATCATCGCTTCACCACTCACTAGCTATATGAGCACATGTCAAGGGATTAGCCTTGTTGTGCCTCTCTTTTCTCATCTGTAAATTGGGAATGACAGTAATGACAATGTAGTAGATTATACAAGTAATTTATGTGATGTGCTTAAAATACTGCCTCCTGGCTCAAAGTAGGCAGTTAATAAATGTGTGTTGCTGTTAGTAGTAGTATTTTCATTTTCTCTGTTTAGTCACCTCTTCCCCTTTCTCTGTCTTTATTCAAGATTAAGGAAAGTATAGGCCATTTTCAGATAATTAGCCTTCCCCCCTCAGACTCATACCAGAGCTAAGAACCTGGAGAAGTTGCCAGGCATGCGGTCTTCCTGGCACCCCTGGGGACCGTGGTTAGCAAGTTCAGAGAACATCAGAACGGGTGGTGAGTTCCCTAAGTCAGCTTCCCCATCCCATTTCCTTTGTGGAAGGAGGGTTGTTGACACACCACTGGGATTTACTTGGTGTTTGGGGCGTGCATTCCTGGGATGGATGCCACGTGGTCATGGTGGGTGGGGACAGCCAGCTCTTAAAAGGGAGTGGAGGTTCTTGGCTTTTCTCCGCCACCCCATGCAAGTGAGACTGCTCTGCATCATGGCCCAATCTTGTATTTTTAGCATCCACTGAAATTTAATGTTTTGCTTTTGGTTTATTATGTATGCAAGTATCTTGCTGATAAATTACATGTGTAATTGTACCATCGGAACCACTGCTAGTCAGCGACAACATATAATTAAACTCACCCTTGTAGTCATTGAACTTTTCCGTCCCTGACAAGATCACTGACCACTCCAAGGAGGGTTTGCCTCCACGTCTGAGCTGGTGTGGCCTTGCCCCCTCCCTTTCTCACGGCCCTCCCCTCACCGTGCACCCCAGGGTGTGCCCTCACTCGTGCAGGGTGGACTTCCTTCAAACAGCGCTGAGCCGGAGGGAGGAGAGGCTTGGGCTCTAGGGCCTAGAATGCCTCTCTCTCTAGTTTTGTGTCTATACCCAGATGGTTATTGGCCCC